CCTCGGAGGAGACTATTATGATCACATTTTATATTCTCCTATCTTTCTTCAGAATGGGTCACAAGTTACTCATTCTTCAGTTTGTGTTTTTGGACATGGTGCAACGAGTTGTTTTGTTTTTTTTCTCCTTCTAGCAGGGCATGTATTGCTTGGATTTCTTTTGCTTTTTGCTCACATTTTCATGCAGATCTTCACCAGTAGCTTTTGTAACCTCACCATGCTTTACTCATTTATCAGCTTTTGCCATTTTTATATTATGTCTTTGGGGCTGTCAGCTTTTTTTTTTTTTTCAGACGCTTGCGATGTACTTTTATCATTTGCTTTGATCATATATTTTGCTTTCTATCTATAGCACTCAGCATATGACTGTAGATAGCCTGCTCTATATGCTTCTCTTAGAACACACTTGTAGCGTAGCACACTTACTCCTCTCTCTCTCTGTCAATCTTTCTCTCTTTCTCCCTCTCGTTCTTTCTCTCTATCTATCTATCTCGCTATCTCACGGCTTTTACTCACCAGGGCAACTCCCAGCATGCATTGCCCCTTATAATCGCAACTGTTCCTCCACTACCTCTCTCTCTCTCTACTTATCTTCATCTTTCTCTTGGATGCATGCATTTATTTTTTCATGTTGGTTTAACAGGTGCCACTTTTTCAAAGTTGGGAAATATCCAAAGCTTTAGTATGATGAGATGTTTGATTTGTTCGTTGTTTGTGAATGTTAATAAAGACAATAAGCCCATGTACTGGCGTCTGTGGTGTAGCGGTTAAGTGCTTTGGTGTCACACACAGGAGACCCAAGTTCAATTCCCGAGTAGGGAGAAATTTTTATTGAGTATCTCGGGTCATTCTGCTGGGATGTTGTATCCTTCTCAGCCAGGGTTAGCCCTGACAGGCAAGGTCAGATACCGGCCATGTAAATGATATAAACTGTGTCTTTATGGGTGTAAAAACACCTCCATTTTAAAAAGACCAAAACGAACAAAAATAATAAAGTCTATACTACTTAAGTACTAGATGGATACAGATGTTGGCGAATCACAGTCAATGTGTACTAAATATAAATACAAAAGTCGAAGCAAAGGGCGACAGTTGATCAATATGTTAGCTGAAGCAGTGTGTGTGGTCAGATGAAAGTGGCACCCCGTATGTGATACTATATAATATCTGACCGATGACCTATGACTTAATTGTATGTGGAGCCAAGACTCACAATGATTGTTCGCTGCTGCTTGGGATTTTGTGGGGGTTTTTTGCTTCCGTCCTGTGGTTGTAGTCGGAGAGATGGCGTCGGTGGCCTAGTGGTTAGGCTCTTGGACTCCCAACCATAAGGTCGTGGGTTCGAATCCCGTCAGGGGCCCGACGTTGTGTCCTTGGGAAAGGCACTTACACAAATTTTCCTCACTTCCCCCAGGTGGGAATGGGTACCCGGCTATAGACAGTGAAAGATCTTGTCAGTTTGTTAGTGTTTGAGCGCTTAATCAGCTGCTTGCACTGTATGCTTCCCGGGAAGCTGAGAATGTTTCTGAGTGTTCTATGGTCTACTGGGGTAATAATATAGTGTAAAGCGCATAGAGCTTGCTGTTGAGCGGGGATATGCACTATACAAATGCTATTTATTATTTATTATTATTATTATTATTATTATTATGTGGTACTTGTGATGTCGTCTGTACAAACGTTATTATGTGGCTTGTTGTAGGGAAAACTTTTATGTGTTATAATGAGGACTGTGGTCTTATTTGTGATACGTATATTATGATATATTACTTTTTAGAAATGTTTTATAATGAGGAGTATATAGTCTCACTGTTGGTGCTTGTATTACTTTATGTGTTATAATGATCTTATTTGTTGATACATCATCACCGCTGCACGAGCAAAATGGAATAACTCAGAGAGATGTGCCAAAATGCAACAACTAGCTTTTTATTTTGTTTGGTGGTACTACTATATCTATAGAAAGGTGGAAAGTGTTTGTTCGTGGCCTATGATGCCCTGGTGCAGGGTGAAAAATGCAATAATGATGATGATGACTATATCTGTCTTTTGATCAAATCAGAACAAAAATGCGCTAGCAGTCAAAAGAATTTACCTTTATTTTTTAAATAGATGATAAATGGTTAAACAGTTGGGGTTTTTTTCTCAATTATCTCAAAAGTAGCAAAAATGAATTATCTCAAAAGTAGCAAAAATGAGATTTGCCATTTTGCTAGTGCAGTGGTGACATGTATTAATCATTATTATGCCTGTTGTAATGAAGTCTTAGTTTTGATACATGTATTATTACTTTATGAATTTTAGTTACTTCGGTCTCATTGTTATAGTACATGTATTACTTTATGCGTTACAAAGAGGACTATGGTCTTACTGCTGTGGTTTAAGCCAGTTTTGGACTCTGTAGGGTTTTTTTTAGTGGGGGGGCTCCATAGGTGTATTGGGATGGACCTTTTCCCGGAAATGGAGGGTCTCAGCTGATGTGTGTGTGTCTTGGTGGCCATTTGAGGTGACTTACTCAGTACTTTTGTCATCCGACAGTTCTGTCAGTCCAGACAAACAAGCAGGACTGAGCCTGTCTCTGTGTCCTGACATCTGTTGATAATTTGTGCCCTCAGCTTCACTTTTGACATTTTTGCGTGGTTAGAATTGGTTGGTAGAAAGATTTTCTGCAAGTACATGCAAGGAAAAAATTTTTTTATTTCAGTAGCAAGTTGCTATTGTTTTTCATGTGGCTATATTTTTGTATTCTCATTGCTTTCTTTGTTTTCTTTTCCAGACGAAAGAAGAAGTGCATCCGTTATAAGCAGCTGGAAGGAGAGGGAGGAGGGGAAGAGGACGAGGAGGAGGATGATTCCTTCCTGAGGAACCGAACTCTAGACCTGTCGGCGATCTCCGGCTGTGAGTCGGACTCAACCACGGCCCAGGACAGCCCCCAGCCGGTGGTCAAGCGGGTGAGGGAGTCGTCGGGGGCGGGGGG